TTTGATCTTGGACTGTTGTTGACTTGTTTTTCTTTTTATTTGGAGAATTTGATATAAAAAAAAGTATCAAATGACATAAATCTCTATTCTGAGCTATTAAAGGAGAAGTCCGGTCAGCAAGGCATAAACAATGGATCATTTTCTATACCTAAAACTAACTAACGTTTGTTTGTGGTGATTTAATGAATTTAGTGTTAATCACTAAAAAAGTAAAAACAACAATTTTAGTTGAGATCACTGAGTCTGGTAGCGGCCAATTTTGCCTAAATATAGCAACACCTCACTCCTGACATCTTCCGGCAGTGGCATCACAGTGTGGAACTAGTAGAAACATCTGCAATCAACCTTTATTTACGATTTTGAGAGGACTTCACCATTGAAATTTGCGAGAACAATAGTTAAACTGACAATACTCACGTGTAAGGCAGTTGGATGTTGTAATGCATCGGGAGAAAAAAAAAGAGAAAAAAATTAGTTATTTCACCTGTCCGATTCATGATCCTGCACAGACGGGTTCGACGTTGGATTGCCAACTTGAAGAGGGAGGATTTGCCATCAAACTTCTGGCCAGAGAAAAAACACATAATATGTAGCCTACATTTCAAAGGAGAATGTTTTCAAGTTCACTTAGATAATAGCTCATTGTGAAAAACACCAGATACAGCATTGGGACTTGCTCAACAGCCGATATCGCACCGTGACATCACAAACAAGTAGGTGGCAGTAATCTTCTTTGACAAAGATGGATGCCTCCAGTAAAGCACATTCAGATGAAAATTACTCTTGATTAAAAAAAAAATTCATTTATTAAACAGTATGCAAACATTTCGTATTTCAAGTACTTTCAGAGGTGTTAATTCTGAATATGACCGGACTTCTTCTTTATTGCACAATTAGCACACTTGTTATCTGCAAGTATTTTCTCTTCAAGAGCCATCTGTGGTGTCTGTCAATATCCACAGTAAAACCACCCGAGTATGGGCATGACCTGAAAAAACACTCAGAAAGGAAGAAGCCATTGCTTTAAAAATACACAATAAGGCTAGATATGGTTTGTATGACATGCTGGGACAAAAGCTTTAATTTAGAGACCTGTCTTGTTTCCTGCTGCTTAAAATTGAATTGCTTGGCCAGAATTAGCCATGTCACATTTGGAGGAAGCTGTCAAGTACAGAGATGGTGGTATCATGCTGTGTGAGTGTTTGAATCAGCAGGGACTGGTGCATAATTAGACATCATGAGTAAAGAGCATTATAGCTTATGGCTAGAGACTCTAAATAACAATGTAAGAGCCGACAGTTTCACATAGTTTGAAAAATCTTTAGTTATGTCCAGTTGGTAGTAGGCAGAGAAAAAACAAAATACTTTTCTTGCTCACAGCTGCACATAGGGTAATAAAAATCAATGATTTGATAACTTATTAATGTAGTCTGATTTTGGTTGCGGTAGGGGCCAATGTAGATTTTAGGATTATGGATTAAATAAAGTAGATCAAGGGCATAAAAGTTAATGGACTGAAAGAGGAAGATAGTCTAACCAGTATGCCTACATCCCAACACTATCGTGAAAAGCTTGTAGAAGGATACTTCAAACATTTGACCCATATTAAAGAAGTATTAGTATTTGGTAGATTGATGTTTTTTTTTTTGTTATAAATAACGCTTTTGGTAATCCTAAATGACTTTATGTGGCCACCATCGGATGCAAGAGCCAACCACACCAACTATAGATAAAACTAACACTGAAATAGATTCCAATGAGGGAACTGCAGGGTATAAAAACAAGCCATCAATTCACACAGAAAGATGTATATATAACTGAAACAAAGCTGAGAAAAGAAAGATGAATAAAACTTTCTGCAGACAGATGTATATAAAGTCTGAGACAGCCTGCTAACGGTCCCAGATAAAATGGAAGCTCTATCCAAAATAAAAAACACAAAAAAACCTTATGGGGATAGAGGGGGCGCATGAGTCACCAGGTGAGACATGGATGGACAGAGAGCAAAAGATAAAGAAAGTTTTAGCTGAGAAGTTATTTTAGCCAGATGTGAGCTTAAAGAACAAGCCTGACATCGTACAAAAGGCCAAATCTCTGAAAGTTACAAATATTTACACAATTACTTTACAGAGGCTGTTAGGAGAAGGAGGCAGGAACGGGTGTCAAGGTTAAGAGAGAGAAGAAATAGAAGGATACAGAATTTTTTTGTTATGATTAATTGCCTTAGAAGAAGTATATCAAAACCACAGTATTACAGATTGTCCTCAATGATTAGTCTACCTGTCACATTACTGTAAGCAACACACACCTGTAATTCAGCACACATTGTCGATGTGCTCGGACACAGCTAAGAAGAGGAGTCCGCACATATAAAAATATGACCTCGTCCAACACATTTACTACATCCTGGCATATCTTGATGCACTCATATATCTTTTATTAATCTCTGTTTTTAGAATGTACAGAAATTTGGCGGTAGAGCAGAGATGCTAGTGCAAAATTACATGTCATGTAAGTTTTAAACACATTTAATGGCCAGTGATCTTGAAGCTGAAGCACATGCAGAAACCTGATCAGGTGAAATGTTTGATCAGGCCACAGACACTAAATTTGAATTAAACTTGTTTTTGGAAAAATGAATATTGACTGGAAAAAAAGGATAAATGCGCAAAGAATGTATGTTCTTATTAGTTCATTTTATCCTGTTTTTATCTTTACTTTATTTATTTATTTATTTTTTCTATTTTATTTTTTTATTCATATAAAAGATGTTAATTTGCACTGAATTGTGCTATTCAAATAAACTTTCCTTGCCTTTACCAGCAAGACCAGCATCAAATGTTACATGCATTTATCATGTTTACACCTACTTTACATATATTAGCTAAGCATAATGTCAGGTCAATATCAGTTGGTTTTAGTGACCATAACCTCATTGTCTTGAAAAAATAATAATAAAAAAAATCTAGAGATATTTTCTTTACATTAACTGGTCTTTAAAGATTTTATTTTTCAATTGTCTTGTGGAATAATTAAGAACTGTTTTTTGGGATGATGTTATTAGTATCTATGACCATGAAATAACTTAGGTGTCTCTACAAATATGTTCTCGAGTAAATATAGATGTATGAAGGAGAGAATATTAAAAACAAACACTGCTATGTGGATCTGTCCGTCTGTATCCATCCATCCATCCATCCATCCATCCATCCATCCATCCATCCATCCATCCATCCATCCATCCATCCATCCATCCATCCATCCATCCGAGTTTAGGTCGGTCCTCCAGCAGTCTATAGGCCTGTCTATAGTCTGTTAAGTTGATCCATGCAGAATTAAAAAACATAAGGAAATTAAAAGATTAAGCTTACTAGTGTCATTAATATTGGGACTAATAGTTGACACATTTAAACATTCTAAGTAACTGAAATGAATGAGATAACAAAAAAAAAGAATACAGGAATGAGATTAATATCTGTTAAACATGATGACAAAAAGCTTTGGAAAATCTTTAATTAAATAATAGAAGAAAAACCTAAAATTCTCCTGCTGCTGAGACAAACTGTGTTTTTATTACTCCAAGTAAACAAAGGAAGGGAGGACTTTCCAGAAGACGAAGCCAAAGCCGGTGTCGAATAGGTTAACAGGAGTTACAGAGATCTGAAGAGGTACCGTGGGGAAATCCAAGTGGAAGTCAGGAGGCAGATCCAAGTTCAGTCCCCAGGCAGAAACCAGCAGGAGTCCAAAGACAGATCAGGCAAACAAACCCGAAACAGGAACAGACATTTTCAAAGGAGGCAGAACTGGTCAGGATCAGGCAATCAGAACAACTCACAGGGTACGCTAAAATACTCTCACCAATGGCTTGAATAATCTGGCACTGATGACTGGGAGCAAGCAGCTTAGAGGCAGGAGCAGGTGGATAAAATGAACAGTGATGAGAAACTGGGCGGAGATAGGCAGGTGATTTGAATGAACCATTAAGCCAGTCATCAGAGCCAAGATCATGACAGAATTTGTTTTGGCGTATGATTAGATCAGGGGGAAAAGGCTAGTTTTGAATAACAATAAAACAACAAATATGATCATTGGGTCAGGACTTGGAATGCTGACTAGCCCTGAGGTAAAATTAAATATTGGTGGTGAATATATACTGCAAGTTGACAAAACTAAACTATTGGGCTTTGTTCTTGACAAGAATCTTGGACTGAACACATAAATATTACTGAATAAAAGGAGCTGCAACACAATGGATACCAAAACCTGTTCCTATTTTTACACTAATCAAATCACTTGTTTTATGTAATCCATCATTCTGCAGCATAGTCTGGACTTCTGCAGAGAGACCTCCAACCAGCACCCTTGAAGCTGCAGAAAAGCAATATATTCTAGACGTCTGTGGCTCAGTATAAAATAAATATTGCAGTAACGTTTGGGACCTTTGAGTATAACACTGTAAATTTGCAAATGGCAATTTTTCGTCTAAACCAAATCTCTTATCAAAATTCAGTGTACAGTCATCCTACAAGAATTGAAACTTATGATCTAGTGGTACCTTCTAAAATCCCTAGGCTTAGACAGTTTTATTTATCAATATACTAAGAAGTTATTGAACAAGTTCATACCTGCCAGGGCTTTCATCTTAGACTCTTAGCCCTTTCAGGCCAATTAGCCTGTAGCCAAATTAGACCAGAAAGAGTGTTTTTATTACTAGAAAGAGAGCTTTATTAAATCTAAAAAAGACTAGAACAAATTCGTAGAACAAGGAGGGGCCTTAAAGGCTATTTTTTTTAACTATTTAACACAATTCGTCGGATATTGATCTTTTTAAAATTTTAGTCAGTATCTCGATGACTCCGATAACAAAAAAATAGATAATAGGACAAATCTATATTTTAGCAGATCATATTTGAATCTTGTATAACCTATATTAATCAGTGACTGACTGAAAACTATAGGCTGTAAAATCATATTTGTGTGAAAGCAAGAACCAAAAGGACTCAAAGAAAATGCATTTATTTATACTGTCATGTCTTCACAAGGTTGCTTGGAACAAGAATTTGATTTTGCATGAGTTTTATTATCCACCATCCTGATAATCCCTAATCTGTTTCATGTGTGGAATTCACAGAATGAAGTGACACCAGCAGCTTGGCTAAAGCCTTTTATTTCCCAATGAAGGGCACCCAGTGAGAAGCAGAGGGTCTCCTCTCTTCTTTGGTTGTCCAGGCTTTCTTTTCCCACCCCTTCCGTTTACACATTCCAGATGTCCTGCAATGACCAGCAGCAGGTTTAAAATGGAGTATGATGTCTGGTGGAAAAGCAGTTTGCCCCTCATCTAAGCTGACCCTTTAGCTGATGCACACTGCCTGTAGACATTTGGTTTGAGGCTACATACATACACTTCATGAATAAAAAGTCACAAACCCTGCTGGACTCATGCACATTCATGCACTCATCCTCTGCAATTACTGTATGTCATCTGTGCCGAGTCAGATTTATTTTCACAGTTAAAAAACAGCTCTGTTGGTAATAATCCAACTGCAACCTTTAAACTTGTGCTGCGATTTACATACATCAGTTCTGATGGGTGTCTTATTTATATACAATCATCTTTTACAGTTACATCTAATTCAATCAGACTTTAAATTAGAATATCCACAAACATTTGCTACATATATCTTAAAGTGAAAAGGGCATTTTATCCTCAAATTCTGTATATGAACAAAAATTTGTTACGTTAAACTTTTGACAGTACCTATCCAATGTTTACACTTGTTAAGTTTTTTATTGAGTTTGGCCCCTGACAGATTTTTAACTGTTCCTTGTCAAAGGTAGAATGATTATCCAGCAAACCTTACGACTGTAATCATAAAATTTTCAGGTTTCCTACATACATGGAGACTTTAATAAAAACTTAGAAAACCCAGTGACCAACCTCCTCGTCAAATATTCTAACTTTACTTTAGTAAACTTTAGTTGTTTTCATTGCACAGATTTATCTCTAAGACTGCTGACCAGATAATAGTGAGATTGTATGTTTATATGTGAGCAGGTATGTATGTTTTTTCGATTAGAGAGAATCAACTCAATAATTCTATTTAGCGTAGCAAATTCTTTTTTTATGATTTCATTAAAGTTGTTTGTTGGATAATTGTTCCACCATAAAAAAAAAAAGAAAAGGTTCAGTTCAAATCCATCATTAATTAAAGCCCAAAATAAGTATTGCATGCTTGGTCAAAGATGAATTTATGCAAATGTCTTCCTGACAGCTGAATGTGACAGGATTAAATTGCATTTTTAAAGCTACAATGATTCAGTTTGAACTGATACCATGTCATCTAAACATCAGTCAAAAACAGTGCATACTAAGAAGTAGTGTCCTCAAACACCTATAAAAAATATTCAGAACAGGCTCTTTTTTTTTTTGGTCATGAGTAGATGTAACTGCACAGAAGCACAAGTAAATACACAACACATATACCAACTTAAATGGTATGCACATTGACAGAACATTCAGTACCAACTGAAGTGCAAAAACACAAAAAACAGTTCTGATATAAAATATATCCCCATCATAACTTTGCTTAAATATTAACATTTAGTATTAGATTCAGTTCTTTTTACAGGCATTGATTCCTCCTATATACACGAGCCAACGCAGAATGGTTCTCTAGATTGTATTCAGAGCATAAAGAAGTGAATCCAATTGGTGAGGAGTTTGACAAGATTATTATTGGAGATCCATGTTGGAGGTTATTTTCTTTCAATGTTGCTTCATATTTGACCTTTTCCGCTCGTATATTCAGTCCGAACAGCTAACATAAAATGTACCATTTGCAATCACAACCTGACGGCGTTTTTTCCTGATGCGAGTGAGGCGAGCACCACAGCAGTTTCTGGGAAGGCTATAGTGTCCATGAGGTGTTTAAATAATGCTATATACAAATATAATGTAATCCTGACGTCACACCAGGTGATGTCTATATTTACAAATGGTTTTCCTTTTTAGCCACTTGCATTCTTCTAAATTTCCTTCAGCCGGCCTCCAAATCCTGTTTTAAGTCCCATGGGTAATCACATACACAGCCCTCCCTTTCACTGTATCCAGATGGTATTGTTCCGGTCCGGTCGGCGTTGTTCAGAGGCTGCATTGTTGCCAGTCGCTGTGAGGTCGCTAAATGTGGAGAAAAACTGCTCCATCTCTTTCTGCAGCATCTGGTTTCGCCTCTCAGCGTCCTCCTTGGCCCGCTCAGCGTTGCGCAGCTTGATTTCCACCATGGTGTACTTCTTCCTCTCCTGGTCCAGCTCCTCGTGGAGGCCCACCATCTCTGTCTCCAGCTCCAGATTGCGCTGCTCCAAACTGGAAAGGATAAAGAGAATTGATAGTTGGGCAAATAAACTATTTAAGAGCACCAAAAATATAAAGTTCTCAAACATGATCTGTGTTTAAAGATTTTTTTTTTCAAGATCTATTTACACTGAGGTAGTGAAATTAACTGTTTGGCAGAGGCTTGTGCTCTCTGAGGGATTTCTAGTTTTTTTACTAAATCTATTTTTGTTTAAAGTGATTTTGACAGTTTAAAAACAGGATAAAAATTAGATAATTTCAAAAGCTCTTACAACAGGAGGAGGTAAACTTTATTTCCAGTTATCCAATGGAATTAATGCTAGGTATTTAAGGGAGGGTAAGGGCAATATGGGCTACAGTTAAACATTTATTTGCTTTGATATACTGTCTTGAGGAAATCTTTACCAAACATAAACAGCTCACTTTAACATCTATACAGATTTAAAAAAAACATGTTTTGATCAAAGATTAAAGTCTTCTTTGCTGCAACCCTGTTTTGATTGTTGAGCTCTATGTTTCATTCACTGAATCCAGTCTATATATTACATTCATAATAGTCTTATTGGGCCTCATGAAATAGCATTTTCATTTCTTTTAAATTTCTCTTCAAACGCTACACATCAGATTTAACAAAATTTTTAACTTCAGTAAGTTTATGGGGAAACTTCAGTTCGTAACTGATCCCCATAAACGTGATGCAGCTCCCCTGTGCAAACGTATGTGAAATGTAAATATACATATAAGGCTCTAACTTCCTACACTTGGAATTCACATACATGGCTTTGAAGATGAAGAACAGAGACTTTAGCAGCAAAGAAATAAATCACAAGAGCTGTGAACGATGTGGCTACACTGTTACAGAAATAAAAATAAGATGACAATAAAATATCAATTATAATAATACAAATACAAATAAAAATATTTTGATCTGAAAACAGTCAATGAAAACTTCTCATGGAGGCAGAGGTGTAACAAATGCTGTAAATGCTTAACATAAGTTCAAGATTAACCAACCCGAAAACATTCTTCTAAATCTCCTTTTAATACAGAAGCACCTGACCACGTCTCATCCCTTCATCGCACTCTCCATCTCCATCTCTGCGTGTAATAAAAATATTAATGGCAAAACTCTAATCTATCGAATTTAGACAGACCCAAAACCAATTTTTATTGAGACAAATCAATAAAAATGTTACCATTAGAGGAGTTTCAAGGAGCAAGTTGCTGAATTTTATTCTGAACTTTCTATCCATTTTCTGTTCCAGATGTTATTTCACTAGTAGCTTGTTCTCTGACTATTCTTTCTTTTGACAAAATTAAAACAAATTGAATTAGTATCCTCTGAATACTGACATGCCAGAAGCAAGTGTGGGGACCTATAGTTTTGTCATCAGCGGATAAATATCTCATCTATATTTACAGAGCCGCATAATATACAAGAACCTGAATTTAACAATCCAGCAGAACTCAGAGAATTTTGGCTTTAGTAATGGACGAATCAGAAAGCACCAATGGAATGGTGCATTAGCTGTGGCTGTGATAGAAGCTGTACGAATAGTGCAGGCAATAAGGAAGGAGGAACGACCAGGATGCAGGATGCTCCCTATTGATACTACATCAATGTTCCTATCCGGCACTTAGGACCTACACTGATTGCCAAAATCCTCTGCATGACAGGAAACTACACAGTCTATCTCATGGAATTTAACACAAATACATCGCTCTATTGTACTATGTGTGACACATGCAAACACAAATACCTTCAAATTTTGGGGGGTTTATAATTGAGAGCTTGAGCCATTCACTATATTTGTGTAAATTGTTTTTCGTAATTCTTTTTCAAAAGGCTTTAGTCCCAGTTTTGACTTGCATTATCCATGTCTTTGGTAACATAAGGGCATCCTTAAGGTGGATGGCTGCCCTGGCTTTAGCACAGCAGTCTGAAATTCCTTTCCTATCCCAAAGCGTTCTTATTGTTGCCATGTGAAAGAAAAGGAGCAAGATTTTGCCCTTGAAATCAAACCGAGGAGGTAAATAAATCATTAGATTCAGGTGTGGGTAAGCAGAGAAATGTTTAAGAGGTGCAGGGTCTGAAGTTGAATAAAGGAACACGGGTCTAAAAGTTACCGCAATTCGAACAACCCTGCTAAATAAATTATAACACACTGTTCCTACTAAGCCTCTTAGGAATGACTGTTTGTACAACAATCATTCCTCTCCTTGAAGCAACCAAAGAAAAATAAGAAAAATGGAACAAAATTAATAAAAATTCATTTATAATGAATACCAGTAAATACAAATGTTAGAAATATTAATATGGAAAAAATTTTAATAAAAAATAAAAAAACTGCAACAAATAAACTATCAGATTATTTTGAGGCTTTGTGATTAATTAGTAATGGTCTACATTTTAACAGCCATTGTTGGCAAGTAACATTTTTAAATACAAATAAAGATTATTTGAGGACTCAATCAATAAATGTACATATGTGTGATTATGCAAAACTACTAAAAAAAAGGCACAAATAAAACTTGAAGGGTGTAATCTTCAGTTTAAAATGCTAGGTCACTGCACTAATACTTATTAAGAAATGTAATTTTATAAAATGCAGTTCGACTTACTCTCAAGTTATCCACAACTGCTGGACTGTCATTAAACTGTGTACCATGCTCACACTCTGATCTGATTAGAATTGTAAATTTGATAATCACTCATTTAAAAACTTGCTTGGATATGCATTTAAATTTGTCAGTGCAATAAATTGTAAAACATTTTTTAACAAATTTTCAGGTTACTGAAAGCAGCTTGCTTTTAGAAGATTTTAGAATAAAAGTAGTGCACTACTCCATATATTCTTCTGCTAGTTTGTAGGAAAAAAAAGCATCAGAGGTAAACCAGGAAAACTTGAGGCTTAATGCTTGAATAATATCATAAAATCTTTTAACAGAGTATTACTTGGAGGGTGTGTAAATCTGGTTATTGCTTGTTGTACTTAATTGTGCGGATAATTTTTGGCCAATCAAAAGGGGTATAATCTTTTGTTTTGCTATTTTTTTGAAGAAGTAGATCCTTAAATGACAAACCTTTTAATCCTGGCCTCATAATCTGTCTTCTGTTTGTGCATTTCCTGTTTCAGGCTGGCCACCAGACTGTGCAGAGCGCTGTGGCTGCCAGCTCCATTACCCAAAGGGAAACCTTCACTAGTATCACTACTGCCTGTGCCCCGATTGCTTCCTCCTGCTCCATCTCCGCTCCCTTCCCCGCTGCTGTTCCTGCCCCCTCCCCCTGACTGAGGAGGCTCGCCTTCCTGAGCCGCTCCGTCCAGGTCTTCATACGGTCCACTGTAGAAGTCCTGCTCTGGGCAGGTTGTGGTGGAGGAGCGGCAGGAGGTGGAGTTGTCTGGGAGGGAGATTTCACAGGAGGAAGTGGACCAGGTGGCGCTGTCCACACTCTGCTTGTCCTCACAGCTGGTATTCAGACACATGCTGGTGATCTGGTTCTGCAGGTTCTGGTGGTTCAATTGGACATTGTCATACGTGGACAGGCGGTTCTGATTGGTTGTTTGATCTCCGTTATTGGAACTGTCACGGGTCTTACTGTTCTCCCTGAGGGCGACGCAGCCATTTGGGACCCAAAGCCCATTACGGTTGCTTGGACTTCCTGTGATGATGTCAGAACCAGAAACCCCCAGGCGAAGAGTACCTGTCCCATTCGCTGAAGGACTGCCTCCACTCGTCACCCCACTAGTGCCCATTTTGGTGCCGGGGCCTTTAAGTGCCCCACTTCGTCGCATGGGCAAACTCCCTCCTAGAGTCACGTTCTGGGTCCTATCAAAGTCTGACGGGGGCGAGGAGCTGAAGGACCCATTAGTAACAATTCCACTTCCTTTATTGAACGCTGGGTTCTTCTTCACCATCAGGGGTGGACTGCGTGTCATTTCATAGCGTCCAGTGATGACATTCCTCGGACTCACAGATCGTGGGGAGCCGCCGTTGTGGACTTGTTGCCGTTGAGACTCCGCCGCCTCCCAAACACACTGCCTTGCCTGCTGTGAGTTGTTGTTCTCTGCATTCTGAGACAGGGAGCTGACTGCTGAGGTAGTATTGGTGACTTGTCCCTTCTGTGGTTCAGTGTTGTTGTTGTTGGCGAGTTCAAGAGAAGTGGGTTTTACTTCGTCCCTGGGAAACAGCACATCGTGATGGCCGATCAAAACAGCCATGAGCTGTTGGACCAGAACGGTTCCTGGAACAATTAAATTACGAACTATTAGCAGGCGTAAACTGAAGGAATGAGAACCAAAGTGATGGACACCTTTAACACCTACAGTACCTTCCATGATTGTTACCGGATCCTCTACCTTTGGCCTTAAGATGTTTGGCCCAAAGACAGTCGCCAAGTTCTGGACGCTCATTTTATTCACCCCCGAATATGACTGGACTTCATCAAGAAATCTATATAAAAAAAGGCAAATATACATAAACTTTTACCTCATAAACATTTGCGACAAACTGAATGTCAATAATCGTAGTCTCTACCTGCAGATGTACTTCAGGAGGTTGTAGTTTACAGAAGGTAGACTTTCCACCAGCTTTTTCAGTTCCTTCATGCCCTGCAGGTTAGACATAGATTTTAGGCCATAAAATCATATAATCTGCGAACTAGAATTTTATATTGAATGATTAAAATAGACTAGTGATAAATGAAAAAAAAAAACACAAAAAACTGTCATATATGATCGATCATCTGACAGAAGAAACTAAGTGTATTACCAGACATCTCTTCCTCAGGGATGGGTCACAACATATGAAACATTGCAACAAAAATGTTTTAACACAAAATATATAAACTGATAAATGAAACCCATATTATGAAAATCAGTAACTTATGAAAACAAACATTCCACTTCAAAAATGTATTTTGCTCTTATTAAAAGTATCAAATATTAGGGGAGTGGCGGCCTATTGGTTAGTGCATAGAGGAATCCTGAGGTTCTAAGTTCGACCCCCACTCCCACAGACTGCCACTCTGGGTCTCTGAACAAGACCCCAGGTGCCCCACGATGGCAGCCCACTGCTCCCCAAGGGGAAGGGTTAAATGCAGAGAGTTAATTTGCTCTGTACTTGTGACAGTGTAATGACAATAAAAACAGAAAAAAAAAATGATCTTAGTGGGGCTAACATGATTTTCATTAAAAAGAAACACATTACAATGCCTGGCAAAGATTCAGATCCCTTAAATCTTTTCCCATTTTCTTCAAATTATAATCATAACCATTCTACTTTTTTTTTTTTATCATTTTATATCTGAAATGTAGCTCTGCTTGAGTTCAGCCCGTCACCATCTGCAAATAAAATTCAGTGCAGCCAACTTCCTTTAAACTTCAACTAATCATTTAGCAGACTCCAACTTTCAGCAATTCAAACTCATTTTGAATGCATCTGTTCGCAGCGGTTTGTCAGAGAACATTAGTAAGCATATCAGCATCACGGTGTTCATTTGGTTGTCATAGAATAGTCAAAGGGCAAAGGCCACACTGTTTGAAGAAAACTTTAACAGTTTTCGATTAAAATCGTCTATAAGCTATGTAGGAGATATCAAAAACATGGAAGATGGGCGCTCTAGTAAGCAAACCACTGCATCTGGACATTGAACACACCATTCCATTGGGGAAACACGGTGGTGGCAGCATCATTCTGTGAGAATCGCTTTCTTGTATAGGAACAATTAAACTGATTAGAATGAGAAGATCATAGAACTAAATACAGACTAAAGGATGAAAACCTGAGGTTGCAGAAGACGGCAAACTACCTTTGAGCACAGAAACTACCTAAAAAACAGCCAGATTAATAATGCATATGTTTAGATCAGAGCACCGTCTTGTCTAAGAATGGTCCAGTCAAAGCCCAGACCTTAATCTTGTTGGCAATCTCTAGGAGAATTCTGAGATTACTGCACGCCTATGGAATTGCAAAGCTAGAGGAGCTGTACACCAAAGGACTTTCCGCTTTAAATACAGCAAGATGCTATTTGACAGAGCAGCTACTCACCTACTAGACTGACTGAATTCAAGTCCATGCCAAACCTTTTATATTTGTTTTGAAGAAATTGGAAAACTATAATTTTACTTCCAACCCACATCGATGCCCCATCTGAAGACATATGCCACATATACTCCTAATAAAATACATGGAAATGTGTGGTTGTAATGTGACAAAATGTGAAAAAGGTTCAAGGAGTCTGAGAGCTTTTGAAGTATATGAAGTAGTTATCCGTAGGTTATTCCTTCCTTTAAAGCCGAGCGATGGATGAAAACAGTATTTAAACCGTTTTAAGTGGCAGCTTGGTTTTATGATGTAGGGGAAGCCAGACAAAGTTACTAGGTAAGGCAGAACAGAGAAGAATTAGATTGAATAGGACTAAAGAAAGGGTTTTCAGAGCTTGCTTTTTATCAACTAAACCCACCTTATGTTTGGACAGAGGGATGATGGGAAATATACAAGGTAAAAAGAGAAACTTTATTTCATATTTCCTACCATTTCATCATCTTTGCCCAGGAGTTTTGCGTTGGCCAGGAACTCTTCATATTTCATGAAGGGGATGACTGGCTCAGGTAGCTCTCTGAGGTACAGCTTCAGTAGGGAAGCTACCGTATGCACGTCTGTGTTACTGTAAAAAGAAAAGATAGTGAGAATACTGGGACTGTAATATTATCTATGGCATAAAGCTTCTAAACAAAGAGAGATTCTTTTGTGATAAGAATTTCTATACCATCACATTTCTGTTCAATATCAACATGAAACTCCAAGAAGGCGGCAATAGAGATCGATAATTAAGTAAAATGTATTGGTTTCATGTGAAACACATGTATGAGGAGCTGACTTTGTGCCTCACTTGACACACTGACCAGTTTCCCTCCGTGTCCGCTGCACTACTGCATATTACTATTCTGCTGTGTTGGGTTTTCTCTTATTGGCCAGGCTTTATTAAGTATTTTCTTAGATGTTAAAATTTTACAAGGGATGAAAAGGGGAACCCAAGGAATACTTATATTTTTATAACTAATAGTTTTCTCTTTTAATATTTATTTTAATGAGTTGTTGTAGACAGAGGCTGGCCCAGGAAGAATCTCTTGTAGCAGTCTTGAAGACACAGGTTCTCTTTGGCGGCCTGACGAAGAGGACAAGGTTTTTCCATAATGTTCATGGATATATTTTGTACATAATAATCTCTAGAGGTTCCAGAGGATCCAGGTAAAACCTGTAAATTACCTTTTCATTCAGGTCAGGTGTGCGACGGCAGGGAAACAACATGTAGGACGCTTTGCCCTGAGGACCAGGGTTAAGAAACCCTGCTCTAAAAGACCATTTTCTCACATATATCAGCAAATACGTAAGTCAATGTGTTTGAAAAACACAGTGTCTTCCGCCATTGCGCTCATAAAAAGTTTGTGTATTGGTTTAATATCAGTGTACCGACCTGCTACCCTCAAGTGTGCTAATAAAATTTCTAGGAGTTCCAAGAACAGATTTATCAAAATCATTTATCAAAAAAGATCTAAGCCCTTTATGTCAAAGGTTTTAGGATAGAACCATCAGGTGTTTTTTAGATTTTTGTGATTCTAAGCAGGATGTTGAATTCAGTGATTCCTTTAATTTCATCTGCATACCTCAATAAATGCATACATACTCATGCATACCCTAGACCTCTGGTGCTGCAGGTTGCATTCAAGTCTATTAAGTTAGATTTATTTTTTCTAAAACTAGAATTAAACTCTGAGACGAAGCCACGTTTTTATTTCCAAACAAATAAACAAAGGTTCTCATAAAATAAAGCTGTTAAAAATGTTGTCATCTCCACATCTTAGTGTGTATTTCTTCATACTGAAAAATCAAACATTTAGAATTGTGTTCATAGCAAAAAAAAATAAATCAAAAAACCTGTTCCAGCCAACTGTTATTTATATAAGCACTCCTGTATTCCCACTTTGCAAGATTTAGACTCTGTTTAGCCTGAAGTACTGAGATTTATACTCACTCTGTATAACAGGTCCCTAAAATCTTATTACCTGTGTTACACAATGAGCCCTTTGGTCACCTGGTATTAATTATCCACACACCAGACTGCTGGGGTATTTGCAAATCTTACTTGCTTTTTTTATTGACATATCTAACTATATGTTACTAAAACAGCAAATACTCTCTCTTGATTATATTACTATTCTATCTATCTATCTATCTATCTATCTATCTATCTATCTATCTATCTATCTATCTATATTGTTTGAATAAACTCAAGAGGTAATTGAGAAAAAATGCTCTATTCTTTATTGCTTATATGTGTTTCGTTAAATCTCTGCACTATACAAACAAACAAAATAAACAGGAAACCTGGAATTTGAGGGTTACTAAAAGAGAAGTGCAGCAAGCACTGGCTTGTTTGGATGATCTTCCATGAAAAAACGACTTGGATTATGAGATGATAGTGATCCAACTAGGGGCAGGTGGTGATGCCGGCAGGAGGTTATGAAGTCTAATCAGGGAGGAGGAGGATGGAGTCATTGCCAAAGAGCGGCTAAATAAAGATAATGAAAACCTGTATTTCACATTCTGTCCTTTATGCATCACCCTGACAAAAAAATGTATAGATAGTTCGGGTAAAGATGAAGAACCTATAATTAATGTTATGCATGGATTAGTGCAGTTTCTTTTTTCATTTATATATACCAACAGAAGTATTTGATTAGACCAATTCATCTTTACAGTAAATTGAGAAATATTCATGCTTTCGTATTCAAACTAACACTCTGCATCACAGGTACACTGGGGAGTGTTGGCCTAGCGGTTAGAGCAGTGCTCTTGTTCTCTGAGAAGGTTGCAAGTACCCGGGTCGATCCCCACAGGCTCCACTCTGGGTCCCTGAGCAAGACCCTTAACCCCACACTGCTTCCTGGGCACCGCACTGCTCCCCAAGGGGATGGGTTAAATGCAGAGAGTGAATTTCCCCATTGTGGGACAATAAAGGGATTTAGATTTAAATTAGATTTAGTTTAGGTAAATACAAGCTGTATATCTCTGCATATTGAGTTTGTATTCTTGTGTTTTCTCCTCACCAATCAAATGATGGCTTCTCCCCACAGTCGAAGGCATCCTGCAGCTCTTTAACAAGATTCGCCTGTCCTGGGAGTCTGAATAGACCCTCTTCTTGAAGCCCCCACTGGCGAATGAAGTCTACGCACTGCTCAACTAGCATTGGGGCGAGCTTGTTCCCAAACCGGCGCTCATACCGCACCGTCTCCTCCAGCTTCTGGCCAAAGATCCCTGAAACATATGAAAATTGTTAATTGCTAAGGTGTGAGGGAAAGTGATATTTTGATAAACAAGTTCTCTAATCCACAAAAGATTAACAGGCTCATAAACATCGAGCTCCTTTCGTATTATTTTTAATGTCCATTTGCAAACTAAACCTCAAGAATTTTTCCTCCAAAGCTATTGACAAGCTTCAAGTATAAAATGGCATGGATTTTGGACCAGCCCTCTTGGCTCAATTCCTAGATCACATGTAAATTAGCTGGCTTTGTAGCTCAGGTGGTGCTTTGAATCTAATGCACAAATTCCTAATGGAGTTGAAGTTGGGCCTAGGCGTGAGTTTTGGTAGGTGATTTGCGATATGATATGCATCATGATACCTGGGTCACGAAGCGAAACTATAACCATATTGCAGTATCACTATGTATTGCGATATTTTTCCAAGCTATCAAAATTAAATGTATAGATAAAAAAACAAGTACTGTATATGTTCATCAGAAGATATTGATCAATTATCCACGTCTTCCACTGTGACTGCTTCAACTACAGATATGGAGCTGCGCCGCAAAGGAAAAGGGCTCCACAGCGCTATCTGCCAGAGTGGCAGTGCAGAGTTTGCCTATTTTCCCTCGTTTTGCTTTATTAAAATCATTATTAGGCACTGAAAGATGGATATTATATTGGACAGCCAAAAATCACCATATACTGCCAAATAGATTTTTTTTCCCACACCCCTGGTTGGGCCTATACCGAGATACATTTTACCTGCTTCATTTGCTCCAAAACCAATTTCAATATGTTTTTTGGGAATATTATTCTGTCTTGTTACAGTTTTAAATTACAAACCATTGATTTGTAGTGAAATTTGACGGCACATCTCAGGCCTCAATATTTCACCTACATTTTAGATGCACCAGTATGACTGGTACAGTAGCTCACAATGTTTCCTAAGCCCCAGTCGCAATGTTGTGCATCTATCAGTTTTTTAAGGGTACAGAAAGACAAAACGTTGTACGAAAATAATGACTGGACATCACCTTACTAACCATTAATGACCAGATTGGTAGGTTGCTTCCAGTATATTTTACAAAATATATAAAACATTTAGGTGTAACATGCCCAGCATACGTGCACCAATACTGAAGGATCAATGCACATCTCTTAATTTAAACATCTATTTAAACAAGGGATGCCCTGGTCTGATATTGGAACTGGTCTGAAATCAGCAAAAATCTCCAACAAAAGCATTTATTTACACAATCTTATTGCAGCTCATGTGTATGTATCAACAGAAGGGATTAAGGAGGTCTTCTAAAGAGATTTGGATCTGCATACTTTTTGAGGCTTTAGATAGAGACTAGCTATTCGCACACATACAGACACATGGACACGGTACCAGGAGTCTCACTGGCCAAATTAGAAAAAGATTATCAGGGGCCAACGTCATAATGCAAGCACTCAAAAAACATTTCTTAATGGATTTATCATAGATCACAGAGATTTATCTCTTCTTGTTAAGCATTTAGTAACTGCATTATGTTTGCTGCTAAACCCACCTCTCTAAACTCATTGATAAAGTTGTAGTATGACCACACAGCAGAGGTGTGGTCAGATAAAAGATCTTTATTAAAAGTTATGAAAGAAAACAAAAGCAGGGAAGCAATACATAGAATGCATTAATTTCCCTTTTACTGTCAGATAGTACAAAAAGTTCTCATTTACTTGTAAGCAAAATAATGGTTGACCCAAATTCATAAAAAAAATCCTTAAAGTTTTTGTTTTACCTTCAAAACAAGGATCAGCCAATGTTTTCCAAAACATAAACCATGGAAACTCCTGGACTGACAACCAAACAAATGTCTAAATAATAGAAAGTGACTGAACACAATTTGATCCCTCCAGATGTTCAAGTTATGAGTGAAGGAATGTTTTCACCGGGTCACATCTAACAGCTAATGCTTCTGAGTGTTTCTTTCATGCATGTTTCCTTTTCCTTCTGGACAGGTTGTTCTAGCAGCAGACCTTCATCACATAGGACTGATACTCTGCAATAGCTTGAAGGTTTCATCAACACTTTCAGTCCCTGTCAGTCACACATAGTTGCTCCTCCCAGGCAAAAATCCATGTGGAATGAAAATTTGTACAACTGGTGTTTCATTTTGTTTTTATTGTGAAAATATGTCTTTAACACATAGTCAGATCAAGTTTTCATGGACATAAGCTGTGAATGACTTTACATAAAAGAGAAATAAAGCATTATTTGCTAAATGCATTATAAGGTCTTGCTGTTCATAAAGAATAGGAGCTAAAGCTCAGACCTTAGAAAAGTGAAAAAAATATCAGGCATGTTCTAATGGAAGGAAAGCTTTAGAACAAAATAAAAGCTGACTAAATCTCTCTGACGAATGCACCGTAGAATATGATTTATACCAGCAATACAGCTAAAGTAAAACTGCACTACTTCCAATGACTTTGGTAATTATTTTCTTAGTTTCTTCAACAACTATAGCTCAGAAAAATTTAGTTTTACAAGTTACAGATATATTCAGAATGTAACCCCAAGCCATAAACTGGTTAAATAGTTAATGGTTGAAGGCAAAATTTAACAAAGAAGAAATGTTCATGTTTAATTCTGAGTATTCATCTGTAGTTATCTATATAAACAGTTTATTGTAGATATCATGAACTTTGTTGTCACCAGGGGTAATTTGCTTCGTAGCCAGCAAGAAACTAAAGAAAGAAGGACAGTAATTTCTTTCTCTGTTCAGTACAAAAATGGCTTTGTACAAAAACAAATGATGAATAACTTCATCTGAAAAAATTCTAGTGAACTTAAAAAAAGAACCCTTAAAAGTGTCCCCATTACTAAAAGCAGAAATGTAATTACCATGAAACAAATCTCCAAGGATCCAGATAGAGAATCCACAGCTGCACATTTTTTTCTACGATCTCCAATCACTGTCCTTCCTGTTTCCCCGTTGATCGGTACTGTCTGGAGGACTCCAGTTAACGGGACTTGGTTTTGAGCCCTCTCTCTTTGTCCAGCAGTCCGTTCAAACTTTTAAATATTGCAGCAGTCCTATTCAGCCTCTCAGGTCTCAGTCGATCACTGCTGCCGCTGCAAAATGGCTAAAGTCTGTCTGTGCTCTCTGTATGCATGTCTATGTGTGTCAGAGTGAGGGGAAGCCCGGCTCGGCTCAAACATGGAGCCACCTTTCCTGTGGCATCTTTGACAAATGGCTCGTCCTTTTGAAGAGCAGTCAACTGCAATAGACATCAAACTCCCTGCACTGAAAACAGAGGGGCCAACTCTGCCTCATCTATTCTGTTCATCAGTGAGGGCCGCCTAAACCGCCTGTCTGGTTACAAATGCTGTACTTGTGTGCCTCCAAAGCATAATCTAGGCCAGTCAATAATAAGACTCGCCAGCCGGCAGGAGACTCAATAATCAGCACACTAACTTCAACAAAGTCAGAGAACAATTACTGCATAAATGCCTATAGCTTTTTCAGGGACCGGGTATTTGCTGGTTTCATTTACATACTAGTTGTAATTTTTTTAGAAGAGGCAATGGAAAAAAAAGACAATATTGTGAATGGTGCTATAATCACTACTGATCTTAACGATCAGGAAACGAGAAAAGCTCCTCTTCTGTGTAACGATAACTTGCGGCATTTCGAAGGACGCAACTAGCCCAGAACCAATGAAATCATGATCCGTTTCCTAAGACCTGGTCCTTTCTTTGCACGTTAAATAAGAAATTTAAGTCAATCAAACTTTTCTAGTTTTAGAACAAAAAGGTTTACAGGGTCTTAAGCTAAAATTCAATTCCAAAAAGTGATGGAATATGTCAAGGGTCAAATTGTTATTGTCAGTATATAAATATCAAACCTGTGTGAACTCTAATATATTTATGGATTTTCTTTCCCCAGTTACATTCTCACATAGAGCTTTTACTTTGAAAACATTTTAAAACACATTTAAATACACTATATTGCCAAAAGTATTTGCTCACCTGCCTTGACTCACATATGAGCTTAAGTGACATCCCGTTCCTAATCCATAGGGTTCAATATGACGTCGGTCCACCCTTTGCAGCTAGAACAGCTTCAACTCTTCTGGGAAGGCTGTCCACAAGGTTTAGGAGTGTGTTTATGGGAATTTTTGACCATTCTTCCAGAAGCGCATTTGTGAGGTCGCACACTGATGTTGGACGAGAAGGCCTGGCTCTCAGTCTCCGCTCTAATTCATCCCAAAGGTGTTCTATCGGGTTGAGGTCAGGACTCTGTGCAGGCCAGTCAAGTTCATCCACACCAGACTCTGTCATCCATGTCTTTATGGACCTTGCTTTGTGCACTGGTGCACAGTCATGTTGGAAGAGGAAGGGGCCAGCTCCAAACTGTTCCCACAAAGTTGGGAGCATGGAATTGTCCAAAATGTCTTGGTATGCTGAAGCATTCAGAGTTCCCAGCCCAGCTCCTGAAAAACAACCCCACACCATAATCCCCCCTCCACCAAACTTTACACTTGGCACAATGCAGTCAGACAAGTACCGTTCTCCTGGCAACCGCCAAACCCAGACCCGTCCATCAGATTGCCAGATGGAGAAGCGCGATTCGTCACTCCAGAGAACGCGTCTCCACTGCTCTAGAGTCCAGTGGCGGCGTGCTTTACACCACCGCATCCGACGCTTTGCATTGCACTTGGTGATGTATGGCTTGGATGCAGCTGCTCGACCATGGAAACCCATTCCATGAAGCTCTCTGCGCACTGTTCTTGAGCTAATCTGAAGGCCACATGAAGTTTGGAGGTCTGTAGTGATTGACTCTGCAGAAAGTTGGCGACCTCTTCGCACTATGCGCTTCAGCATCCGCTGACCCCGCTCCGTCAGTTTACGTGGCCTACCACTTCGTGGCTGAGTTGCTGTCGTTCCCAAACACTTCCATTTTCTTATAATACAGCTGACAGTTGACTGTGGAATATTTAGGAGCGAGGAAATTTCACGACTGGATTTGTTGCACAGGTGGCATCCTATCACAGTTCCACGCTGGAATTCACTGAGCTCCTGAGAGCGACCCATTCTTTCACAAATGTTTGTAAAAACAGTCTGCATGCCTAGGTGCTTGAATTTATACACCTGTGGCCATGGAAGTGATTGGAACACCTGATTCCAATAATTTGGATGGGTGAGCAAATACTTTTGGCAATATAGTGTATATCCAGTGTCTGATGCTTCAGGTACTTATGCCGTATATAACTATTTCCCTATTTGTATTTACCTGATTGGGTTTGTGGTGAGGTGCTCAGCTGCCTCCTAACAGAGTTTATATTCTCAGCATCATTTACTGCCCCTCAGTTCAATTCAACTAGAAGTGAAAGTAGGGCTGTTTTACTTTAATGGACAAAGCAATGATCAGATGTCATATTCAGTCCCTCAGTGAGTGGGTTTTATAATCTGAAACTAAATGAACTGAAATAAAAATTATTTCATCAAGCTAAGCTAATAATTATTATTAAGTATGGCAGATTGAGATTAAAGTGTTTTCCATTCTATCCACAACAAGACAGGTTACTGTTAAGATGTAAAGGAATACATAGAATAAGTATAAAAAAGGCACTGTTTTGAATGTAGAAGGTGCACTGTGAAGAAAAAGGATCTACAGCAGAACAGCAGCAGGTCAAACATAACCTGACAGTAGTCAGATTGGATGTGCAGTTATCAATCTGCAATGGCTGCCGTTCAGTCTGTCCATGAAAAGGAGGGATGTTTAGTAGAATACTTTGAGCTGGTTTGGTGACGTGCCAGCGAGTACCCGCCTTCCATAATATGCTTTCAGCCAATCGTAGCAGCAAGTCGTGATGTTTTACAACTAGCAGATAAATTAAACTTTTTCCAAATCTTGTCGGAAGATAAGCGCAGACATTTTTCACATCTACAAATGCTCAAAGTGCTTCTCTTGGCTCCTTTTTTAAAATGAGAAATTGTTGCTATTCTAGCTTAAAATGTTTATAATGCCTTGGCAAGGCAAACACTGCTGGAATGTCATTGGTCCTACTTTGCATGGTTACGAGAAGGACATATTAACAGGAGTCATTCAAGATGGGTTTTTTGTAGGACTGAAAACTCAGATCTTGTGACAACCCAGCTTGCAGCACAAGGTTAGGTCAAACATGAATTAAGCAATGTTTAATTATGTCGGCCATACGCTGTTCTTTGCATAACATAATCCCATCAACAGCGTCGCAGGTAGCCGAATGGGTATTTCTTTATTCAGCTTTAAGCCACACATTCAAATGGCACAGCACAATAATATGTGGTTGCGCACATATTACTGCAGATTCGTCATTGCTGATATTAGACGGCTTTTGTTTCCTGTGGGCGGACTGGGCATCAAAACTAAGATTCAAAAATAAAACAATTGAACTACTCCAGGAGAACTGAAAGGCTAGAACCGATTATCAGTGCTACACAGCATTTCAATGTCCAGGGTTTCAGTTTTTCCATGACGGAAGCTTGTTTGTCCAGAATCCATTGTTGGGGTACTTTACAGTGACCTTTGCGTGAAAGAGTTCCCATTTCTACGATGATGCATGAAGCTGCATGCTAGCTGCAACTCTTTCGTCCTTTCCATCTGGCCAAAACCCACTTCAAGTGTATCACCAACACATAAAAGACTAGTGAGACAACATTTAGTGCCTCACTCTTGTTAAGTGTGATGTGACTAATATTGACCGCCTCTACGATTAAGAATTCTGTTTTGCTAAAATGTTATTTTCTTGCAAATGCAAATAATTACCGGACCTTAGTCTTTTTTTTACCCTTTTTTCTGCATGTTTTAGGTTTTCCCCCTGTTTCCACACAACTGACTAACATAAATAAATGATTAGCATTCCTCTGCATCCCTAGGTGGCTGATGAGGGAGTCATCCAGTCAAGTCTAAAACATGCAGGACAGTTGGTCCAGAGGACAAGGGTTGAAGACCTCTAGGTCGAGTGAAACAAGGGCTGCATTCATGCTAACCTCCACCAAAAGGTGCCCAGATGACCCTCCGAATCGTCTTCACCCAATCCTCCATGTCATTCTGGGTGCTGGCCATAAGTAGGTAGGTCTCATGGTTGGTTGTCATCCGCTCTCTTTCTCCCCCTGTAGTCCACAATGACAAGGGAAAGAAATCAATATGACAGATTAAAAAACACGCTTTAAAAAGCTAAGTTTATCTCTTTTTCTGCAGCAGATCTAGCATACAAGCACATATTTTTACTGCTAGTAATATTGTGTAAAAGGTTTTTATAAATTAATTATTTATCCCCAAAAATGGTGGTTGTAACCTCACATTTACAATTAACTCCCAAAAAACTTTTTTTAATCTATGGCTTTCTGTTTCGACACAATAAGAACATAAAACAGAAGCTCATTCTCTTAAATATGGGGAAGACAGGAGATCATTTTAGAAAAGTATGGCAAAAGGCTTTGGGGAAAAATAGCATAAATTAGCAAAACTGAAAGGTAAAATTCAGCTTTAAATTGGTTTATTACTGGGTGAGTTTAGGTCATAAAATGTCACATGTCTCTCTGCTAGTTCCATTTATCCTGCCTTCAATCATGAGGGATTCTGCTCCATTGATTGTATCCTGGGATAAGGTCTTCCTCTGCCAAACAAAATCTGAATATAGGCATAATGCTGCTTGACAGGCCAGAAAAGAGGCTTAGATCTAATCTTTAAAACGACATGTCTTTTATTTAGATTATTTAAACCCTGGTGAATAATTGATTATGGAGAGTTCTAATAAGTTTGTGAATCAAACTGCTAACTTGATAGGATCACAACAGCACAGCCAGTCATGGCAGTCTAGCTAAACAGTTCACAGACTCTGAGTTAGAGCTGGACTAAATTTAGAATAAAACGTTGACTGAGAAATGTATGCTCACTGTCAACCCTGATGGGATTTCATTGACAGTTACAGAGGGCCATGTGGTCTTCACATCTGTAAATCTTTCTTTACAATTTCAATGCAGGCTTTTAAAAATGACTACCTACAGGTTAGACGCTTGAACTTTTTGATTTGTCACTTTTTTGTTACTTAAAATCAACAACTGTATGATGAGTGTTATATGGTGTTTTTTTTTACATCCTGAGATCAAATTTGCTGTTTTATTTACTATAAACTGCATTTCGTCAACTGTGTGACAGATCTGTGGGACAAATGTTCAGAATTGTATTTATTTGCTTGTTTTCACCGCCTTCCAGAGTTGCTATTTCTAAAATTTTTTGCAAATTCTTACACAATGACTATAAAAAGGATTCTGAAATACATTTTTAAACCTTTGCAAAACACAACAATAAACCACTTTTATGTATTTGGTGCCATTTAAAAAAAAAAATCTGAAATCTTTTATGGGGAAAGTTGTAAGGATGGGTTAACTGTAACACAAATCTGTTGCATATCTCTGAAGGATTCTTGGTTGTTTACATCCAGTCACTTTAGACACTGTCTAAACTATCTGTTTAAAAGCACAGTATATTGAAACAAGTTTTCAACAATTATAGCATTTAATAAACTATTACCATGCACTTTATAAATATTCCTTTACATTTTAGGTATACTTGTATAATGACAGAGCCAAAAGTAAAGGAAATAGTGAAAGCTATTTAAAAAAATAATAAACATTTGGTTTGGACTAATATGAAATAATGAATGGTAATAGAAAATAAGCCAATGTAATGACTAAAAAGAAGAAATAAAACAGAAAGAACAGCGGAACCTTAGTTTAAAATTTAAATCGGGCATATACAGAGCTAACTAATAATTATATGTCCAACATATAGTAAATATTGAATAAAATACTAGATCATGCGTTTCAGTAAGTGTTACATAATTCTTACTCTCTTATTACTTGTCTTTGGGGAAAAAGCATTATGTGTTATTGGTTAGTCACGGTTTTTGAAACACTCTTTGAGTATTGCAGTTGTATTACATTTCAGCAAACACGATCAAGATATATTATTAAAAGCAATCAATGTTTTTGGTTAATTTCTAATCAACAGTTATGAAAAACATGACAGCTTGAGCCCCGCTCTCCCTTACCAAAACTAGAGGCATAAAAAAAAAAAAAAAACATCATATGTAGAAATATATTTGCTTTTTTGAATCAAGAACAATATTTTAAATGTGTAAATATTTTAAGACTAAAAGAAAGAGAAAAACTGAATATAGCAACACCAAAAAAATACAATTTTATTTCATGAACTAATCATATTTACACTATACATATATTGATCAATTTTATGCAGAAATATTACATATTAGTGGTACATTAATTAGTACCTAATATCTAATTTGTTGATATAAAAAGCCAACCAATGATTAAATAGTAAATTAAACAATACATTTGAGCGATAATTTAAATATCTATTCACAACCCTTTGTCAGCCTATTTGTCAACAATAAACAATCTAATAACTAGAAGTCATTTTTTTCTTAAAACAAGTGTATTTGTTCTTGAATTGAGGAGGTAAGACAATTTGCAAATGGAAAAAGACATTTAACTTTAAAATAAGAAAAGACAATTGCATTGTCATATTACAAGTGCATATTATCTAATTTTAAGAGTAAAAATACTCAATCAATTTACATACTCAAATTAAGAGTAAATAAACTAGATTGAAGAATTTTTTTTCTTACTTCTTGAAGATTTTTGCAGTGTGTGCCAAAGTGGAGAGTCATGCATTAAGTCTAAGTAGTCTAATGGTCTCCCTAACTCCTCCAGTGATCATTCATCCTCAGCTATTGATTGCACCCAGCTGCTCCCAATGATTCATTAATTAATTAACTGCCTACACCTTGTAGTGAAAGCATTTCATTCATCTTCACCAGTATCGAACACAAACGAGAGGGATGTCCAATGTGGATTAAATATATAAAAACCGTCCTACTAAAGCTGAGCGCCTGCTTTTATGATTTACAAACAAAAGGCAGCTCCGTCTCTCCTCCGCACTTCCTTCCTTAAATCCTGTAATAGTTTCTTTTCCTTCCACATCCCTCCAACAGTGTTTCGGTTTAGTCCCGCACAGAGAAGCCATAAAAGCGCGTACTGACCGGGTAATAGAGCCGCTCACTTGCTCTCGCACATGGAAGTGTTTCTTGAAGTGTTGGAAAAAATCTCCGCGGCTCCAGCTTTTACTTTGTTTGTGACCTAAAGAGCTCAGCCCCGCACCGTTTCCCCGGCATCCACCACGTGACCGGCGCCGCGAGGTGGCAGGTCATTGTGTGCGTGATTTAGCGGGTGAGATAGTGAACAGTGGCTGCGCAAGTTTTTTCACGGTCTAAAAGCCACCGCAGTGGCGGAGCTAGATGGGGGGCCAGGGGTGGCCATGGCCACCCTTAAGGGCTGGTTATACTCCCGCAGCAGTGTGTTGCAGTGAGCTTAGACATTTTTAATTTATGCTAAATATTGAAGGGTGGTCTGTGCTATATGCTGTGGGTCTTGATACTGCCGAGGCGGTGAGGAAGTCGGGGCGGGTTTATTCCGACAACGGAGGGACATGACGGCTAAAAAGAGCGGGGATCCAAGTGGAAAAAGGGTCCCAGCATTCTTGAGCACCTCGATCTTCTAGCTGATCAAACTTCACGAGTTGTATTCCGCAATTTCGGTCATAAAAACAAAACAAGCCGGCATCCTGTCTGCGTCAGTTACTATTTGGGAGAGGTGCAGCAAAATGTCTGCAGGGGGGGCGGGGACGGCTTTTTGTTCACTGCAACACCTAAGCAGAGGTTTCGAAGTATAAATCAGTCTTAAGCCAATCATTGGCCACCCCTGTGGCCACCCCTACCATTTTTTTCCTCCTTTAATACAGATGGTAGGCCCCATATGAAGTACAACACCACATACTCCACCACAAACTTCTTTTTGGTATCCATCGTCGCTAACACTTTGTACGTAACTGTTATGGTTTTAATCTACGCTCTGGATTACCCATAATTCCAAGTTGTATTGTCAAAAATTAAATACTCAAATACATTGTTCTTTTAAGATATTTATTTCGGTTTGAAACATATATTAGTGTATTTTTTACCAACCGTCTAATGAACTATACACAGTTACTAGCATAGTAATTAAAAGTACCACTGTCTGCTTTGCTACTGGTGTCGTGTTTAAACGTCTCACCATCATGTTGAAAACTGCCATGTGTTGGGGTATAAATAAGGTCTGTTCAGTTGATCTAGTATAAGGTGGTTTTAAGATGAATTTTTCGCACCATTACATCTACAAAGAAACGTCCTAGTCCATATTGCGTAGGGGGCCTACCAGGTGTCAGTGACAGGGCCCCTAAGAGGTTGGGGGCCCCCTAAGCAATTGCAGTCTATGCTTATCGATATTTACGCCATTGGGTGGCAGCACTAATACTCCCAAGTGGAATATTCAAAAAAAAAATTTTCGGTGATGAGATATACACATTAATATACTAACATCAAAGATGATAAGTACAGAACTAATGCTCTTTTCAGAACTAGATATTATGTTATATGGGGTAAAGAGAAAATTATGTGTATCTGCAAGTCATCTGTGAGTCTTCAGTGAAATCAAAGATAAATAACAATTTTTATAAAAAAGTTATCAAATAATCAATCATGTAGATATTAGTGCTTGTAAATATCAATTTTATGCAGAATGTTCATTGATAAAAGTAGGTCAGTAATGACCATGGAAAAGATTTACGCCCCAGAACTCAAAACTGAGTTTTACTCACCATACCTTTGATCTAGAAATTACAGATGTTTAAATATATGCGTGTATTTTTTAGCAAAGGCTGTAGGAAAGTATAGTGTTGATTTAGAAAATATGAATGTTTTGCTCATTAATTTTCCTGTTAGAACGGTGAAGATTGACCGTGAGGTTTTGGTGCCTATCCGCTTTCGTCCACCCCTCAGTGTACACTGGTTATTGCCTGGACACCCTTATAAATAATTTCTGGCTACGCCTCTGTGTTCTAGGTCCTCCATACAACTGTGGGGTTCTGCATATGTTTAATACTCCTTCTAATCTCTTTTCAGTACTTCGATATTTTATTTATTAATTTTTCTTTATGAAATCAGCTCTAGTCTAGAGGGACATGTTGATTAAATCAATTGGAAAAATACTTT